TGGAAGATTGTAGCTGTTAGGGTTAACCGTCTTAGCCTTAACTCCTATAAGGGTGCCTTAGATTACTACGGTAATTAATGGCGTTGCCATAATTATCCTTTCAAGCAAACAGAATAACGACATAGAAACCTAAAGAGCAAATTACTGGGGAACATAAATTGGAGAGGAGAATACGTTAAAAATGTCTTCGGTACTGTACCACACCAAACTCTTGTACAAACTAGGACGAATTACATATAAAAGGTAACTTACTCGAATGGATCAACCACTGCCGTATGGGCGGGCGCCAGGTTGCGTGCATCGGGCAAGAAAAAGACAGTTCTGCTGCCGTCGATAGTGGGTTTCCGTAGGGTTCAGTATTAGGATCCAGTCTGTCCCTAATGTACGTGGACGAGTGTTTAAGACACATAGATTGTGAAGCTGCAAAGTTTGCCGACGACCTGAAAATTTTGAGTATGAGTCGGAAGCCTGCCAACGATGAGAGATAGTAAATCAGCGTAAATCAGGTGAATCATAGTTGACCTGTTGGCTTCTGCGTTTCAGTGTCGATAAGGTGCTATATAAATCAACAAATCCTATAAGTGTATAATACTTCGCTCAGGACAACCCAGGCTGGTCCACCAACAGTAGAAGCTACCCTTACAACAGTGCAGCGTCGCAATACGTGGAACTCCAAAATTGCCTCGGTGGATTAACGGCGAAATAAGTAAAACAGCCTCCTTAATGTTCAAGAATGGTGAAGAGCGAAATTCCCATGTTTGCAAGCCATAGGGAAAACCTTTAGGTATGTTGGTGAAGATCTTTTCCCCAAGATTATTGAAAATTTGTCACGCAATATTTGGTACATGCTATAAAGCCTGGAGAGACTGCACAGCTGAAGATCAGAGCAATCTTGAAATAATTCAATGGATAATGATGAAAAGCCCATTGCCACCATTACACCATATTTATTAACCCCAAATATTCTTATTTTAATAACTACGCGCCTCGGTCCGAGAAGCATAGAAAGTCGATTAGTTATCTAACAAAAGGGGAAATTTTCAAAGGAGGCAGAAGACCTCTTGATTATGAGCATGCTTAAAGATTATTTCAGAGCAAAACATTGAGTAGGGCGCAAGAGTTAATGATTAAACCGTAATTAAAGAACACCACGGGCCACCGACAAGCACCCAGTACTTAGTTTGAGATAAAATGGTGGAACTTAGATGCCCAAAGGGCAATACCTATTTATCTTTTTAAATACTGTCGCAATGCCCTTGCATCTCAAATCAAGCCAAAATCAAATTGAGATTGTCTGAGTTGTCTTGTTATAATTAATCACATTTACAGTTTAAGCGGCGGCTTGGAGTAGGCGGCTGGCACGTTGGGGTGGCAAGCTTGGAAATTTCAGACTCTTCTCTTTAAGAATGGATCCTACGCGTATCGTTGAGGCCCTTCAGGCATCACTTCAATCAGATCAACAGGCAGATGCGGAAAAAATTCTCCATGAGGTACGGAGTAATTTTTATTATTGAACCCTGCTAGATGCACAAAATCATCGGTTTCGCGCCAACTCTTCTTCAAGTCGTTCTGGAAAGTAGCTTGGAACTGGCAGTCCGTCAAGCTGGCGCCGTGTTTTTCAAAAATATGGTCATTAAATCATGGAAAGACCAAGAAAGTAAAAGTCCCGAGGGAGTGATCGCTTTCCATATTCACGAAAACGACAGAGAAACCATACGGAATGTTATTGTACCAGCAATGACAACTTGCCCAATCCCTATTCAGTAGGTTTGCCAATTTTGAGCCTAGTATTAGAAATATCTTGCAAGTTGCCCTCTTCCGCATTTTGAAGTACGATTTTCCATCTCGCTTTCCGACGTTTGTGGAACGCGTTGCCGGATATCTGAATTCGACCAATTTCATAGAGTTTCATGGATCTCTCTTGAGTGTCTACGCCCTTGTTCAAGCCTTTGACCGACAGGCCAATGACAAGAATGCCCTGGCTGCTGCGATGAATACCGTTTTGCCCCATATATATGAACGCATGGGTGTTCTTTTGCCCGATACATCAGACGAATCTTTGAGTCTGCAAAAGCTTGTTTTGAAGATATTCTATCGTTACACGGAATACTACTTGCCAACAGATTCTATTAATGAGCAGGTAAGCTATTGTTATTATAAATATATGTATATATCTAAAGTGGGTTACGCATTGGCACACGCTATTGTGTTCTATCCTGGAAAACTTCAATGGTGCTAATGATGATGCTGACAGCGCATATTGGAAGCGACAGAAGTGGACAGCAAGAATATTGTATTGTTGGTTCACGCGGTACGGAAGTCCTGGAAACGTCCAAAAGAAATATAACACTTTCGCCGACTGGTATTTGAAGGGTTTCACTCACCAAGTCCTTGCATCATACCTCAAAGTCTGTGATGCTTACCGCCAGCATATTTACGTTTCACCAAAAGTCCTTGCAGAAACTCTTTCCTATTTCTCGGCCGCGTAAGCTCTTCTTTTTAACCTCTGATTCCGCTAGATTGAGTCACGCATTCTCTTGGAAGTTCCTTCAGGCCTCATTTCCAACTTTGCTGCAGGAAGTTATCCACCCTCTCCTGTCTCACGATAAGGAGGCACAGGAAATGTGGGAGGAGGATCCTATTGAATATATCAGATACAAGACATGTATGGTTGCATTTGCTCATTATTTTCGTAGCCGTTTACGCCAGTCTCCACAACCCTGCTGATGCGGCCTGCACCTTTATCAGCGATGCTTGTTCAAAGAGAAAGGGAATTTTAGACAAGTCAATGCAGTACTGCATTCAAGTTCTGTCGTCGGATGCCAAGCCTGAAGCCAAAGATGGTGCTCTGAACCTAGTCGGAACCGTTTGTGACACGCTGCTTAAAAACAAGACCTACAAGGTTAGCAAGCCTTGACAATTTGCTTACAACACTCGTCTTTTACATAGAGCCAGCTTGAGTCCTTCCTCATAACCCACGTCCTACCATTATTCGACGCACCAGAGGGTTACAGACGTGCCCGAGCCTGCTGGCTTCTCGGAAAGTTGTCGCGTGCCGAATTTGGCAATACTGCCCTTTTATGTCAGGCAGCAGAGGCCACAAGGCGACTCATGTGTTTCGACACGGACCTGCCTGTTCGTGTCAGCGCCGCTAACGCCGTATTTGCATTAATCAGGGATCAAGACGAGAGTAAGTAATCCAAGTAGAATATACATCTGGTCGCATCTATTACTACGACTCAGTTTTTTTGCAGTTTTTGACTA